TCAATAAACTTAGAGAGGGCTTGGGAAGGATTCCATGGATAAGAATCCTCAAGGGGAAAACAACTCAAGAAGCTTGGGAAATTTTGAAAAGTGAGATAATAAAAGCCCAGTCTAGCACAAAACCAACAAAGAGGAAAAATAACAGCTCTCAAAAGAAACCAGCATGGCTCTGATAAATTGAAAGATAAAAAGGACAAGTATAGAAAGTGGAAAGAGGGGCACATAACTAAGGCAGAATATCAGCAAATACCCGAGCCTGCAAAGATGAGATGAGGAAAGCTAAGGCTCAAAATGAACTAAGGCTTGCGACTAAAGTCAAAAATAACAAAAAAAGCTTCTTTCAACATGTAAAAAACAAGAAAATACTTAAGGAAATGATTGGTCCATTAGTGGAGGAAAGTGGCAAGGTGACAAGCAACAGGGAGAAAGCAGAACTATTTAACTCATTTTTTGCATCTGTCTTTACACAAAGGGAAAAAACAGTCCAACCTATTAAAAACAGTGCCATAAAAAACAGAATAGAAACACAAGTTAAGATAGGCAAGAAAATGGTAAATGAGCACCTGTCCAGCCTAGATGAGTTCAAATCACCGGGACCAGATGTTTTACACCCCAAGGTTCTGAAGGAACTGGCAGATGTGATCTCAGAACCACTGAACTATATGTTTCAAAGATCCTGGAGCACTGGGGAACTACCAGAGGACTGGAAAAGAGCTGGTGTAGTTCCCATCTTCAAAAAAAGGAAAAAAAACGGACCCAGGAAATTACAGACCTATCAGCCTGACCTCAATATCTGGAAAGATTCTGGAAAAGATAATCAAACATCGAATCAGCAAACACCTACAAGCAAACAAAGTCATTACTAAAAGCCAACATGGTTTTGTCAAAAACAGATCATGCCAGACAAATCTTATTGCATTCTTTGACCAAGTGACAAAATTGGTGGATCAGAGGAATGCTGTGAATATAATTTGATAAAGTAGATCACAACCTACTACTTGATAAGATAAAAAAAATGTGGGTTAAGCAGCATCACCACCAGATGGATTTGTAGCTGTCTGACTGGCCGTACTCAGCGTGCGGTCCTCAATGGAACTGCATCTACATGGAAGGAAGTGTGTAGTGGGGTGCCCCAGGGCTGTTTTCTAGGCCCAGTGCTCTTCAACATCTTCATCAACGATTTGGACGAGGGGATAGATGGGGAACTCATCAAATTTGCAGACGACACCAAGCTGGCAGGAATAGCCAACACTCCAGAAGACAGGCTTAAGATACAGGAGGATCTGGACAGACTTGAACACTGGGCGCTATCTAACAAAATGAAATTCAATGGTGAAAAAAGTAAGCTTCTACATTTAGGCAAGAAAAACCAAATGTACAGGTATAGTATAGGGGGTACCTTGGAGGGATCTTGGAGTCCTAGTGGACAATCACTTAAATATGAGCCAGCAGTGTGCTGCAGCTGCCAAAAAAACCAACACAGTGCTGGGCTGCATTAACAGAGGTATAGAAGCAAGATCACGTGAAATATTAATACCACTTTACAATGCCTTGGTAAGGCCACATTTGGAATACTGCATCCAGTTTTGGTCACCACGATGTAAAAAAGATGTTGAGACTCTAGAAAGAGTACAGAGAAGAGCAACAAAGATGATTAGGGAACTGGAGGCTAAAACATATAAAGAACGGTTGCTGGAACTGAGTATGACTAGTTTAATGAAGAGAAGGACGAGGGGTGACATGAGAGCAGTGTTCCAATATCTCAGGGGCTGCCACAAAGAAGAGGGAGTCAAGCTATTCTCCAAAGCGCCTGAAGGCAGAACAAGAAGCAACGGATGGAAACTAATCAAGGAGAGAAGTAACCTAGACCTAAGGAGAAATTTCTTGATAGTTAGAACAATTAATCAGTGGAATGGATTACAGATTTACGAAAAATTCCAGAGAATATACAAAATGTTTTAAATGAAAAAATATCAATGATGGAGCTGATAGAGGCTATCAAAAGACAAAAAAATGATAAGACTCCAGGCCCAGATGGACTACCTGCAGAATTTTACAAATCTCTACAAGATATTTTAAGTCCTATAATGAAAGAATTACGGTATGTAATGAAGTACTTGTAGAGGCTAAAATACCAAATATACGGACAGAAGCTAAAATATCAAAAATAGTGCCATAAAAAACAGAATAGAAACACAAGTTAAGATAGGCAAGAAAATAGTAAGTGAGCACCTGTCCAGCCTAGACGAGTTCAAATCGCCAGGACCAGATGGATTACACCCCAAGGTTCTCAAGGAACTAGCAAATGTGATCTCTGAACCAC